AGCAGCGTTACAATACGTCGATTCTCAAATGCGAACAAAACTGGTAGAAGAGCAATGGCAAATTGTTCTCGACTTTGTCACAGTAGAATCAATGTTCGAGCCAGTTATTGATTCGATTATCAGTTTAATTCAGAAACAGATTAACGCGTCAACAGCTACATGTAAATGTCAGGCGATTTTCTTATGTGGAGGGTTTGGAGAATCACCATATTTGTTAAAACGTGTAAAGGAGAAATTTGAAACATCATCGACTATGGTCTGTGCACCGCATCAAGCTGTTACTGCTATTGTTCGTGGCGCTGTTTTAGTAAGTTATTTATATAATTGATTTTTCTATTACTATTATTAATGTCTAACTATCTCTATAATTTTAAATTTGTTAGTATGGTAGGCAGATTATAATTTAAAATGAGCAAAATTTGCAACATTCTTAATTAAGTTTATGATAATTGATATAATAGGCATTAACGAAAGTTCTGTAAAAACACGAGTATTAAAATGGACATACGGCATAGAATGTTACAGACAATGGGACCCAACAAGGGACTCTATAGAACGTAAAGAGCAAAATGGTGATGTTAGAGCATTCGACAAATTGGCAACGCGTGGCGAAGAAGCGGATGTTAATAAAGAATACAAAAAACAATATACTACATCTCATCCTGATCAAACGATTGTCAATTTTACTGTATATACCGCGAGTAGCGAAAATGAATTATACTGTGATAGATTGAAACGTTTAGGCAAATTAGAAATTGGTCAGTTTTTGATAATTGAAATTTTTTTGGTTAATTATTATCTAATAATATTTTTTTTATAGAAATTCCAAAAAATGCTCGTGGTAAAAAACAAAATATAGAATTCTCATTATTTTTTGGGCAGATGGACATTTTAGCAGCAGCACGTGTTTTGCAAACTGATCAGTGGTGTCATACGACGCTAAAATTTGACCAGAGTTAATATCTTATGTGCAATATTTTGAGATTTAAATTTATTAGGCTTTTAGCATAATTTAAAAATTACCTTAATCATCACAAACGAGGGAAAGGACTAAATTACTGGTTATTTAAGTAGACACTGACAGTTATTTTATGGGGGGTTTAGTTCTGATCAAATATAAAAATAAATCTTCTATTCTCTCTGTTTATACCAGTACGACACGGCAAATCAGGCAAATGTTTAACAATTGCTTTATATTAAATTGAATTATCATACAGTTTCTTATGTTTGTTGATTAATCATTTCATATTTGTTAAATTATGTTTTATCTTATTTTATTATTCTTTGACTAATGATTTAAATATTCTCTGTGATTCTTTGATTAAAGGTATAGAAAAGAGGAATAAGAGACATTGATATTCACATTAATACAGTTGATATTGTTTAGATAGTAGCAATAGGTTTTATTGGTGGTAGTTATAGTCTAAATGCATAAAAGATAAAATGATTTTTTAGCTGTACAACATTTTCATCACGTTCTCTTTCGTTCTGCGCCTAATTCATTAATCAAAACATTGAGCCTGCAGAATCAAGAATAACAGTGGATAACTTGTTCTATTTGTGACAAAGCAACTTTACAATTTATTATTTTCTTTTTTTCAAACTGTGTAAAAATGATTAATCCATCGTTTCTGTATAAAAACAGCGTTGCATTATATATAAAAATAGGATTTTAACAGCACAAATTCGGGTACTTGCTTTTCCAAGCATTTAGCATATGCATCGAGACAGGAAGCTATCCATGCCTCGCTCAAAAAAGTTTCATCAATGTAATATATACTTCACATGTATGTACATGTATTAGCATATTTTATGATTAACAGCGCTCTTACTGGACGTGACTGAAGTAAACAATACGCATAAACTTGATCTTTTAACAACTAATAGCATTAACATTTTTTTATTATTATTTGTATTTAGATGATTGTACATGTACTGTATTATATGATATGAAGTAAGACAGTGACAAATATTATATGATATCGATATTACTTAATGTCTGTTACTGTCCTAAAGCTCTCAAAATTATAGAAATAGAAATGTCGCAACCATGTCTGTTGACAAATAATAAAGTACATCACGACAAGTTATCTCCTCATATGAAAACACAATCGAACCACTGAATGAGCAATGATTATAAGCCGTTTCTAACCTTTTGATTTAAGAAAAAAGGCTATCACGTTGGTAATTTCTACTCTATAATTCACGCTGACTCTATTGAATAAATATGTTAGTTATGAATTATTATAATGTTTGATGTTCACCTTTCGAAACTTTGCCTTTTTAGTAGCTTTCTATTATTAACCTTGAATTGATTTTTTGGAATATTTATTGTTTGAAAATTTGCTTAAAAGAGATCCGCTTGTTCATCATTGTATATTGTTAAAAGGCGTTGAATTTTACTTTAACTTTAATTCGTGAAAAATTGGCATAGGAAACTTAGTTATTATGCTTTTATAACAACTAATA